TTGAACCGTTCATCGCATTTAATGCGACTCAATCGCGCTGAGAGGGAACGGATCCGAACCGTCACACCGCGGAAACGCATACGAACCGTTCGATTAGGGGTACGCGAATTGCCAGCGTGGCATCAAGTCAGCGTGCCTTGCCACGTGGCGCGCTCCAGTTCGTCGGGGCTGCTGACTAGGTGGTCGTACGTGGTGTAATTTTTTTTAATTACGTTTTGACCCCAAATTTTTGATTTTTCTTTTAAAAATACCACCCGAACCCAAATTTTCACTTATTTTTTCTAAAATTATTTTCACTTTTATCATATACTTTTTTTTTTCCAAATTTTACATTAAATAAAAATTTATAAATTTAAAAATTATATTTTTTATATTTTTATTTTTATTTTTTTTAAATTAATTCCGGACTAAATATCTGGCCCAGGTATTACAAGTTGAGTTTACTGTTCTTAATAGATTCTATTAAACATGATTGGTTACAAAAAAATTTAAAATTTCACATAAAAAGTATAGTTTAGACAATTCAAATAGTAAAATCTTATTATTATAAAAATAATGACTCGAATTTAAAGTTTATTAACTCACTTTAAATTTTTTTTTTAAAAAAAGGATGAAAAGAAAGCAAAGTTGGACTTTTCTTATTCTATAAAATTGAAGCTATATATATATATATTATTTTCTTTGGTTAATAAAAAGAAAAATAGGAATATCTATTAGGATTCCATTATTAAGGAGTAATTTATTTTTTTAATAAAAAATATATAAAAAAAAGGAAAAAAGAAATGAAAAAGTGTAAGGTGACAAATGATTTTTTGAGTTTGAATTTTCAAAGATGCATGATGAAATGATTAGGCAGTACCATACATGAGGAGACTTGGTGATTGTCACATGCATGGTTATGCATGTATTTTCTTTCCTAGCTAAGGCCCAATTTCAAGCCATCCACAATCCAACCACCAAAAATAAATTCATAAAAATCTTGTATACTCTTGAATAGTTTTATGCTATATATATATATATATATGTATATATCATAATTTTAAAAAATCATTCAAAATATCCTTTTTTTTTAATTATATTGATTAGTAATATTGATTTCAAGTATTATATTAAAGATTATGTTTAATTTTAATGGCGAACAGATGACGCACAGGATTGAAAATTTCGTATTAAAGAATGTATATGAATAGAGCAAAATAAAAGAAAAATAATAGATAATTTTCGTACAAAACTATTACTAATAA